AATATGTTTTAACGTGAACTTATTAATTTTTGTCAGGCACATTTTGTAATTATTTTATCAAAAATATCTTCCAAGTGGGAGTGTTTTAAGAAAACTTCAAACTAAATGGAAGAGAATGGTATATACCGTATGTATTTATTCTTTATTTCAATACTGTTAACTTTTATTCCAGACGGAACCCTTTTATCCATTAAAAATCGAGATTTGTGTGAAATATTTTTTAAAAGCTCGTCTAAATTACTACAATGCAAGTTCAGAGATGTGGAACAATATATTTCAAGCCAAACCAGCTGCCCAGCTTCGGAAAGAAATAAGTTGCAAATATGTTAGCGAAATTTCAAGAGCTACATTACCTTAAAATAGATCAGATGCGGTAGACACAAAAATAGATTTTATGAATCGGAAAAAGCGTGGTTAGAAAAAACTTGTCAATTTGTGGTGTATCAGATACCTAAAGGAGGAAGGCCGACTAAAGACTTTTGGGGAATTTAGTGACCAGTCAAAACGTAGGAAAACTGACTAGCTTCGTCAAGATTATTCCCACGAACAATTAACGTTCGCAGCACAAATGAGCCTGCGAGCTAGTGAAGCTAAACAAGTTCTCGACACTATTAATCCCCCATCTGAAGAAACTTCTCTGAACTGGCGCATGTTTTTTTCGAATCGCGAAATAAAGATTTCAAAGCGTATCGTGAACGTTTTAGCCGAAAAACTTCAAGGAAAGCCTAACCTTGAAGATGTATTTCATCGTCTACTTTATTCTTCTGATCCTCATATTACGAGTTTAAGACCTTTACAAACAGTAAAAAGAAAATCATTTGATCCAGAAGTAAAATACATGCTTTTAGAAGAGAATTTTGAATATACACAACCTGAATCTGATGATTATATAGACGAATAAAATTTGTATCGTGCCTTGTACCGTTTTGTTATTGTTTCTATTTTAAGTAATATTTATGGCCCGTTACCATAATTACAATTATCAATGTACAATGAATTAGTTTTTCAGTGTTTAGAACACGAAGTGACTTATTGGAAATAGAGGATGATCTGGGTTTATTGTTTTTCTCTAAATATCTACATATTTTTCAATATAACAAGAAACAAAATTTGTTGAACAGTGTTAGTACACAAAATAATGAAATAATATTTTAAAAATAATATTGTTTCCGTTTTAGATGTGTCTTCGTAGTTTTCAGGGGAAAAATCCGGTTACAGACTTTTGAGCACCAACTTGTATGAAGCGGCCCCATTGTGCGGCGTAGGTACATATGTAAATTAAAAAATAAAATAAAATTATGTTAAAAAATCGTAAATACAAATCCTTTATTTCTTTATTATAGTTAATACTTCAGTCTTACAACTTGCAAAGATATAAATGCATACCAATAAACAATTTAAGAATTCGTTAAAATTTTGCTGCTTAGACATACATGTATACATACGAATGTATGTACACATAAAAGATTAATTTATAAAATACATACATACAAAGTACATTGTGCTTAGCAGAAATAAAAAAAATACTTCAAATAAATATTCTGGTGATGCAGTTGTCAAGGCACTTGTTTTCCAATCATCCATTTAAGGAACTCGTACATTTTTCTAAAAAAAAATAAGAAAATGAAAAAAAACAGCAGGTGATTATGTTTAGTAAATAAAATTTAAATTCAAAACGAATACATAAAACATTAACTCTGAGTTTAAGTTATAATTAAAAAACGGATTCAGCAGATAAAATTAAATAATATGAGAAAAATTCCGTTTGTGATTGCAGCAGTCCCGCTTGCCTTAGCTCAGCTGTTATATAAAATGTACTATGTAGATATGCATATAAATGCATGTACACTGCCGGCAAAAAGTATTGACACAGCAAATTTTAACAAATATATGCAACAGTATTTTTTCTAATATTTTTCCGCCAATTTTTTGTAAAAATGTGGTTCATTCTACAAAAAAAAAAACATTAAAATATAATTCCTAAACTTTGTGCGAAACTCACGAAAATGCAGCTAATTTTCATGGAAATTTTCAACTTTTTAATCAGATTTTTGAAATTTTTTTGAGTTTGCAGATTTGTAGTCCAATCAATTTTATTATAAAACAGTACAAGTTTTAAGTAGCTATGAATTAGCGTTGATGTTTTTTCAATTTTTTTCACGCTGTTTCTTCCACACAAAAAATTTTTTTTCGAAAATACTTTATGTATATGGAAAAAATGCAAAACACCTTCAACAAAAAATTCTCAAAAATCAATGCGATTTTTGACTAACTCCGAACTTGCATTTTTTACTAGAATTCAATGGGCTGCAAAATTGCATACTCAAAAAAATTCTAAAAAATCTGATTAAAATTTTGAAAATTTGCATGAAAATTTCCTGAATTTGCACAAAGTGTGGGAACTATATTTTTATGTTTTTTCATACGATTGTAGCAATTCGGGTTCAGTGATTGCATTTTCAAAGATTTCACGAAAATCGGACTACGATGGATTCAGAGATAGGCCAGAATATTATCAGCGACGGCTAGTAGTATAATTGAGCACAAAAAAATTATACTTTTTAAAACTTGAAAAAAAAAACACTCACATTCTAATTAATTTTGTGGAACGTTTCCATCCGTTTGCATTCACCTATGAGGTACTCAAAATCACCATTGCTCTTCAAAGTTTCAGGATTTCCCACAAGTATAAGTAGAGACTGTGCTCGAGATAGTATTACATTCAGTCGCTGTGAAAAGAAAATAGTAAAATCCATGATAAAAAACATAGTAAGGTAAAACCGTTCTCTTAATCGTCGGCCATTATTTTTTTTTTTGAAGGTTGCCAACATTTTAAAATCATATAAAATTGAGTGTAAAAAAAGGGAATTGTTCAAAGTTGTTGTTGTTTGAGATTGAAAATGAGAATATGTGTATGTAAATTGCTTGCAAACGTCAATAATTTGAAAAATTCCTCTCAGCGGTTCTATCTTCCTATTTTTTTATCATGGTAAAATCCAAAATGTATTCAACAAAGTGTGATTGAATTTGACATTGCTCTGAGAAGAACCATCCTATAGTCAAATTGAAAAAATATTGTATGAATTTTGAATCGATTGTTTATATTTTTTGGCATAATAGTACCTTAAAAGAGAGCCTAACTGACTTGTCAATCACACCTTGTTTAATACACCTTAGTAAAATCCATGTATAGTAGATTGTATAGAATACATTCGAATGTATATGTCAGGCATACAAATTATTTCAGAGAATTTACATAAATAAGATCAGAAAGTTACAGAGAAACAATTTCTAATTTTTATAACTGACATCTTAGTGTACAAACACACCTGTGGATCTGTTACAAAGCCCAAATGGCTAAATGACTTCACAAACGAAACTATAATAATTGCTTTTTCGCGTCCTTGAAATAATTCAGCTGTACCCACTTCGATGCCCTTCAATTTCCGGATATTCAATATCTCCTTAATTTTTGCGCATTGCAGTCTGTAAGGTGAAATAATACCGATTTGATTGAGATCGGCATGCTTTTGTAATTTGTGGACAAGCCAAATGACTTTATTAACTTCTGCTTGATTGTACGAGCTTTGCGATGATTTTGACTGGCCCAGCCTGCCATATACGGCTTCGAAAATGATGGGGAACTTCTTGTTTGGAAGTATTTGTAACTCATCCCAGTACTTTAGGGTGTCTTAATGATGATAAGTAGAAGAGAAAAAATAAAAAATAAAATACTTACATTAGTAAGCAATATCGATTAGGATAATTTTTACGCAGCGTTATAAATAACGAAATCACTAAAGTTAATGCCAGATAAAACTTTGTAGCTTTGCGTGACATTTAAAACTTTGCAAGCAAAGCGCCATACGCAAAACGTATGCCACAATGAACGCCACAAAAACAATTTTGTACAGCTTTTTTACTCGTCAAAATTGCTGTTGATTTTATATATTTTAGCTTTAAAAATATCAGCAATGTAAATAAATATTAAACTAGCTGATCGTCAACGCGCGCCAAAAGAGATGGGAGTTGGCCATCTTTTTGCTTCGCGCTGCAGCTGCAACGATCTGTGTGGCATGTTATGTGCATTTTCATCTTTTATCTGGCATCAGCTTAAATGTTTCGAATATATACTTATGTACATCACTTTTCGATAGCATCCCTATAAACATTTTGGCGAACGTTCGAAAATGATCTTCGATATCCAATATGCATATCGAACTGAGAACGATATCATAACAAACCTTAGTTTTCCAACGTTCATAGTGTATTGGAAATACATTCGAGATGGGTTTGAAGAAAAATAGTGAAAACCATTTTCGAAGGGAAATAAAAGATAATCACTCTCTCTTATTAAAATTTCAATTCGATAATGGGCTGGATTTCGAATTCATAACGAAGGAAAAATTGATTGGATAACGAAGGTTCCGTTTTGCTGGAGAATGGCTTAGTTCTCGAATCGAATACTAACCTATTGCACATTAGTTATCGAAGGTGAGACTCGAAAAATATATTGGTTTTCCAATCATTTTCGAATTGTTGACCAAGCCCAATGTTTATTGGGATTGATAGTTTCTAAGAAATCAATTAATCAATCTAGATTTTTTGTTTTTTTGATGAAAAAATGGAAAAAATTCCAACTTTAACAGGGAAAAAATTTAAAAAGTAACAGTTTCTGTGTATGTAAATGTTTTACACTGGTGTTAAAGCTTGCTCGTTTAGAAATAAATTAAGCTACCAATGAAGAAAATCGATTGATACATAAGAAAGTAATTATTGGTCAAATAAAAATGTGCAAGGATTTTTTGTATGAAATATAAGCAGAAAAGAGTGTTCCTCATACGCCAGGTACACCTGAGTGGGTAGAGTATTTGAATCGTATGATGTATATTTAAAATGTTGAGTCTTACAGAAAAAAAATTGTCAAAAATAAAATTTTCAATTGATCTTCGTAATATTAGGAGTAAAGTGTTTGAAATTGAACAGGCTAGTTAAAAAAAAATAAAACATTCCTGATTTTTACAGCTTCTTATAAAAAAAACTATTATTAAAACCTAAATTTTTGAAAAAAATCGCAAAAACACTAAACAATTTTGGCTTTGATCAGCTATAGCTCAGCGAGTTTTACTCCAACCACTACAAGTATGTTGTTGGAAAAGTATTTTAGTTGTTTTTTGAAAAATTTTAAAAGTATGTGTTGAGCTCAGGAGGTCTATACTAATTCTCGCCTATACCTGAATTTCTTGGTATTTTTTTGGCTGTAAAGCACTGTAATTATACCCAAAAATTTGAAACTTCTTATTCAGAATTTTTAGAAAAATTTTAGGTGTGCAGTTTAACAGCCCACTAAATTTTAGTAGGTTAAAGTGCAAATTTCACGACGCTAGAAAGTCGCGTGTATTTTATATGGAAGAAAATGTCGCGAATCCAAGGATAATCCATAACAGCAGCAACCCTTTTTGAAGTTTTAAGCGTGGTTCGCAGATCACAAGAACGGTCAAAACTAAAGATAAAAAAACTCAAGAAATGCTAAAAAAAGTATTAAGCCAAATTGTCTTAAGTACTACGGGTTTCTAAAGTTTTTTTTTGTTAATAAAGAGCACAAGGCAACCCATGTCCGTTCCATTTCGTGAGGAAATAGTGAAACAGCAGGCTGTGAAATATCAGATGTAAAAATTCCATGGACACTACTATTCACACACACGACCTAATGGCAATTTATTTCTTGACCGTTTTCTTAACCCGCATTCATCGGAATTTTTTTGTAACACAAAGTACGTTGTGGAAAAAGACCCTAGTATTCAATGAAATGTTGGTTTTTTTTCATTTTTTATTATCTAATGATCAACGTTTATTCATTTTCTGATAATAAGAATAAAAATGCTTGAATGATCTATACGCATTTGTCGCAAAAAACAATTCCAAATATTTTTCTTAATATTTTAATATGTTTTCGAAATTTGCATCAATTTGATACAAACGATGGATGCGGGTTAAGAGATCCGTACTTACCCAATAAACACCAAAAAAAAATATTTCTCCAACCTTGGAGAAATTCATAGTTCTCAAGTTGATATCCAACATCATTCTCCAACTTATCTCTAACCGACGCGCAGATACATAAAAAGTGATAGAAAAACGAATATTTAATTATCAAGTGAAAAACTAAAGCTATTTAAAGAGGAAAATTACCAACAAAAAGTAAATAATCTTCAAAGTATCCTCAAATAATCTTGAAAGAAAATAAAAGGCGAAGTGAATCAAGTGGCAAATTACTGTCGGACTGTATACTGTGAAGTGAATTATTGTAATACGATATTGATTAGCCATATAATACAAAAGGAGTAATAAAATTAAAAATTAATATTGAAATTCATCTATGTATGTCGTTTCAATCAAAAAGGTAAAAGGTATTTTACTATTTCAATTTTAGTATTTCAATGATATGTTTGAGACCAATTGGAGAATTACATTGGAGTTCAAGTTGAGAACTAGCATTTTCTCAACTTGAGAAACAGTCCTTTTTTCATGCAAAGAAAAATGCCCTTTTTGTTGAGAACGCTATGATCCTCCACTTGAGGTACTGTTGAGAAACAACGTTGGAGATTTGAGAATTAGCATAGTTCTCAACTTAACCTCAAGTTGAGCTCAAACCTAAATGTTTTTTGGGTAGTCTTTAACATTAAAATAAGCAAAATATGCACGGTCGTTAAAATTAAGCTTGGAAACCCTGAATAAGCAATTCCAGGAAAAAGCTTAAAGTTTTCGGCCCGGTTATAATACATACATACATATTTTATAAAATGCCAATTTTTATTTAGAAAATTTTGAAATTTATGCAGCGAGAGGGTTCGAAACTCCAACAAATATCCAATGTAAAAAGATCAAAAATCATTAAATAGAGCATCTCTTTCTTAAGTCGCACACTGGGACGAATCGAGAATTTAAGACGACAAATATGTTTCCCTCATATGTATTTCACTGATTTCAATGAAACTTGGTGTATAGATGTATATTGATTACGAATATGACATAAAATTTTCAAAATTAAAAATGACAGATTCAATATGGCGGACGATTAAAAAAAACTAAGGATTGTTATGAAACTTGGTATGCAGAGTACATATTATTATCGATGTTGTGCTATGGTTACTTGTATTTATTTATATTGTTATCTATTAATGTATTATCGAAATCGATATGCACATATATAATATATTATTATCGATATCGATACACAAAAATGCACTTATCGATATCAATATATCGATAACATCGTTATTCATTTTCTAAATCTTTTAATTGTTTTTTGAACTCTAGGCCGAGGGTAAAATTGCAAAACGACATACATTTTAAAATGCCCTAATTATCTCTATTTCAGTAGAAACCTCTTGCTAAATGACTACATTTCATTAATCTATGGAAAAATATAAAAAATAAATAAATAAAAAGAAGCTGTAATTTTTGTCTATGGAAACTTCTATTTCATACAGAAAGCGTTTAGTTCATATATTACAACACAAAAACATGTTTCTTGAAAATGAAATGTTTTGGCTAAAATTCATCTTTGAGTGCACAAATAAAATAGAGTTCTTTTCTGTGTCCAGCCACATTCATTCAAATGATAGTAACATAGCACCAAGAAATCGTTTGGTATTTTTTAAAACAATTTTATATATTAATTATCGTTCTATGTTAAAAATATCTTTCGCTGTTGTATAACTTCCGCCGACATAGTTATAATTCACAATTAATCACATTCTGGAGTAAAATGTCCCACCCGTTACAAAGTAATGGCCCATTGATAAAAAATAACAATAAAAATACAACATTATTGACTTTAAAATCTGGAAAAGCATTTAGCAAAATTCCTACCCATTTTCACTTCTGCAATCAACTCGTCTTTGTAGTACAAATGATTAAACAAACGCAATATTTCCGGATGTGATCGATAGTTGCGAAGTAGACGTGTCTGCAAAGTGCGGTCATAGGTGCCATCCTCTTTCACCGCATAACATTCGCGTTCGAGTAAGCGTTTCATGAGCGAATTTTTCAGACCAAGTTCGCCGGCAACTCTTGACATGACCACCGGTCCTAGTTGCTTTGTATCTCCTGACATTATTACACGACACTTTGTCGTATTAATACTAGTTATGGCAACCAAAGCTTCTGCTTCCGTAGTTGCAGCCGCTTCATCTATGAAAACATGCGTAAACGGCCAGTGACCAAGGATACCAGTACGCAAGCGGCCCATAGTGCAGAGAGTTGCAACAAGTATTTGATATTGCATTAGTACGTTCACGGCGGGTGATACAACCTTGCCGTTTTCAAAATTTGCATTTTTCTCAATCAAAGGATTAATATTTTTATAACCAGTTTTTTCAACCCACGAACTTGAAAATAAGCGTAACATATCTTTTGGTGGTTCAGCTTTGCCTTTTTCATCTAGTTTTATCCGTTGGCGAGATATTTCGATAAGTCGTGGATTGCTTTGGAAAAGTTCACATATTTTGAGTGCCACTGTATCGCAAGCCGAATTTGAGCCGGCTGTAATTAAGATGCGGCAACTGGGCATGCTTATGTAAAGCTGCAAAATAGCTTCAACGATTGTTGTGGTTTTGCCAGTACCTAAAAGTATAGTTATATTATGAGGGGTCAATATGCGGAACCGAAAATAAACTTTGCGCGTTTGTGGTGGGCATTCGTATGGTGAAATTCTTCAACTTTTGTTTTACTCACCTGGTGGTCCCACAACTATGTATGGAGCATAAGGATTCGCACCGGCCACGATTCGCTTCACTGCTTGTATCTGCTCGGGATTGCCACAAATCTGTTTATTAATAATTTCCAAACTGAAATAAAAATAACACAAATCATGTATTTCCTTTCATAGTATTATACACACATACTAAGGACCATTTTCTCAAATAACCTGTAACTTTAAAACTCACTTTATGTTTAAAGGTTGCATTAAAACTTGTGATTGTGTCTAAAGTAAAGCGTTTTATTATTGGTTTTAAATTGGTTTACAACCACGAAACATACATACCTCAAAAACCCATAATAGGAATGCTTAACTTTAGACATACATAGCTTTATTTTTAATCCAACCTTTAAATATAAAGTGAGCTTTAAAGTTAAAGGTTACTTCAGAAAACGGACCTAAATGGTCCAAATACAAGTCCCTGTGTTAATCATAGATTTTAGGTTAAGTGAAAATGACGTCTTTGGCTTTTTTGCAAAAGAATGCACCTAATATCAAATACCCAAAGATTGTATAAAATGTTAGTTCACCGTGAAGCTTTATATGTAAGTATATTTACTTTAATTAAAAAAAAAAAACTTGGCATATTACAGGGGTGGACAAGGCCGAGGCCGAAAAGAGCCACATGTAAATTCTAAGTGCTACAAAGAGACACACAAAAAAAAATTATTTTTACATAAAATTATTATTAGAAATGAAAAACATTAATTTTATTATTATTCTAATGTACGTGAGATAGATATTAAAAGAAATTCAAAAGACCTCTTTGGCCAAATTTTCAAAATCTGGTTTTACGTCAGTTAAAGCCGTTCGTAACCGTTCTGTTAAATGTTGTTAGTCGTTCAAAGTCTCTAGTAAAAAATGTCCAATGTCATATGTTCTCTCACAAGATAAATATGTATATCCAAAATAGTACGCGAACAGAAAATTTGCAGAGACTTGCAAGTTAGACGAACAGCTTTTAGAAATTTTGTTTACATTCAAAAGTATAAAATTGATAACGTAAGAAAACAAATCCCGAAGTCTTATCCTGACACAGTTCACTGACTAAACGAATAATTACTTCCTTCTGACAAGTTTAATTAGTCGCATTTTACTTTTTTAACTTCCAAACCATCAAATTCAATTTAGGGATTTGCGTAAATTCCAGACAGCTGCTTTCGATCAGCTGTTTCCTTGTTGGCAAATTGCTGTTGGCAAAAATTTTTCCAGCAGAAAGTAACAGCTTCCCCTCAAAATGAAATGTCACCTTGCTCTCTCAACGTCCCCTACTTTGCAAGTTTTTTGCGTACGCGATCGCAAAAAGCTGCGAGTCTTTGATAACTTTTAATATTTAACAGGTACGCGAATGCAACTAATTGTAAACAGTGTTTTGACTTTAAGAATTTCATTGTAGAGTACAAAGACTCACAGTTATACCAAAAATTTAAAATATACAGCACGCAGCTGTTTTCAACAGCGGATGTGTATATTTTAAATCTGGTACTTGTTGCAATGGCAAAGCTTTATGTTGAATTTCCAGTGCCTTATCTTCTTTTAATTCCAAAAACTCCATGTGTATATTAAAATATAAAATAAACAAAAAAAAACAACACAATGGAAAAGAATATCCAGCAAGGAAATATGTATTTTAAAAAGTTAAAAGAGCCAAAATGTTCTAATCAAAAAGAAAATAAAAAGAGCCGCACTTTGCTAAGCAAAGAGCCGCATTTGGCCCAAAGAGCCGCGATTGCCCACCGTTGGCATATTATTTGCTATACATACCTATCATCTGTAGTACCAATCACTTTAGTCAAATTGGCGGGAGGGAAGACATATCCACAACTCAAAATGTCCAACAATTCCAACGCACGATGTTGTACACGAAAATTGAAACGATTTGGACGAAAAATAATATCGTAACTTTTTTTCAAATCAAAATCCGGACATTTCTTAGTTATTTTTTTGACATATACTGTATTTTTTTTAACCGTCTCCAAAACTCTCACATGGCGTCGCAGTTCATCATCTGTGTTCACATTTTCATGCCCATGAACCGTGAGCAAATCTATCGGAAATTTAATTCCACTTTGTGCGAAAGCCGTACTTTGCCGTGGAACAAAGACCACTTCATCAGTTTTGAAACTAAGCACATCATCGATATTGATATTTGGCTTCTTTTTCATCTATATATTTTTGTAGTAATTCAGTGAATTTGAGTTTAAAAGTCATTACATGCTACACAAATATGTATGTAGGTCCAGCTATAACTTACCTCAAATTCAAGACGTTTCTTACCACTTTTTTTTGCTTTAATACCGTTAAGACGTAAGCTGCAGTACGGCTGCATTGTATGTGCATCTTCTATTTGCAGTAAATGCCCCAGTATTTCGGTTATGTTACTTGGCTGGAGCTGCTGACAATTCAAATATTTCCTGAATTGGCATTAATTGTAAAAATGATCTCTTCAAAAATGTAAGCAAAAATTAATAATTTTGGTGCAACTTACTTTAAGTATGGATTGTACTTTACAAAAAACTCCTCGGAAAATTTTTTAGTTTGTGCCAATTTTATGTTATAGTTGGGGTAATAGTGATTCAGCACTGTGATTGATTTGAAATTCCTTTACAATACAAAAAATCACATTAGCAAATAATTAAAGAGAGATTACAGGCGATCGGCTCACTTATGCCGGTCATTGAAACGACAAAAAATTTGTGCCATTTAATAAATGACCGCTGAAAATTTCATCCAATTCAATGAAATAGATCTTGAGATATTATTATTATTATTATTGGGGATAAAGAACTACGACCTTAAGATTTATTCCGCCTTATCTTGAGTTTCGCCTGAAAAAAAATTCACCCGAAAATTTGTCATCCGCTCATAGTAAAGCCATGGAGAAAACAAAAGTGAAAAGTGAACGGGTTCGGGGAAAATTAAACTCATGATAAGACTGATTGTTTCTTGAGATATAGTCAAAACGAAGAAAAAATGTCATACAAGTTGTTTATGTCAATAACTAGCAAAATGAATATTTTTGCAAAGTTATATTTTGGGAATCGCTTTCGATGATCCCGAATTGATTCTAAACCATATTTATATTGAAAAAGAAATTTTAGTGATCGGCTCCATTCCAAGAACGTAAAATTAAAAACAAATATCCGGTCTAGCCGGTTTTCTCTTGCCGGTTGCCTTTTTCCAATAACTCGAAAACCGGGTTCGGAAAAAATCGAATAATCTAACACCCCAATAACCATGCACACCTCGCTTCACTTGAATAAACACATTTTTTCTTCAAGAACTGAGCTTATATCTGAAACATCGGATAAACTTTTTTATAATTTTATTTTGAAAAATTATTAATTCTAAAGCACCGGGTTTAAAAGAAAATATACTTTGTATAGTTTGTGTTTTATGCGGCTTTTTGGCAAACTCGCGAAAACTGTTTATATTTGAAATTAGCGTGAAAACGCACAGTAAGTGTAACGTCCTTGTAAGTTAAGAGTAGTTAATGTCTTCTTTTTTACAAATTTTCTTAAAAATTGTTTATTCTTCAAAATGAGATTAAAACGAGGCCCTCCGATATCTACAAGTCCAAATGTACTAAGCTCGGTTCTGGAAGAAAACAATGTGTCTATCCAAGTGAAGGGTATCAGAATTTTAGAACGTTTTTCTTAAACTTGTTTCTTAAATAATTTAATTTCTATTTGGCATCCGTTATTTATATAAAAAAAAAATTAATTGCTAACAAATCCCAAATCTTTAACACAGTTAATTACTAAAACAAAAAAAATTACCCAAAATGTGATTGTTTCTCTTCGCTCTCAACATCCTCCAATGGTAGAGTCTCTACGGCACGGCAAAGATAATATATAGAATCGCTGTCTGTTTCCTGTCAAAGATACATTTTTATGAAAATCAGTTTACTTACATATTGGCTCAAGTCTTTAATAATTGGTTAAGTACTCAAACAAAACAATATATGATGAAAAACAGTTTTAAACCATTACTTAGATATCTTAGTTCATTTTAAAACTTCGAAGTATCAATACTTCATTAGGAGACTCTTCACGTGTGCGCGAATACCATTTTAGTGCCAGTGACTTTATTTGTTGCCCATCGCAGCCGGGTATTTCTAAGCGGACGCGGTTGTTCCCAGGTGCAGGAATTATTATACCGAATATGAAGAGAAAATCTTCCACTCATATACATGGATAGACCAAATTTCAAATGGTGGTTTAATAAAACCTAAACCGGAATTCCTTGTTGACATAAAGAAACTGAAATTAACTTTTAATAAATTTAATAGAAAGGAAATTTCGAATTGCAAAAATTTAATAGCTGAATTATTGAAGTTAAGTTCTGATGTAAATTTAGAATAATCAAACCTTTTTTTAAATGTCTAATATACTTTAAAATTAAGTATTTGAATAAAAAAAAATAAATGCTTAAAAACATTGGGCTAGTAAAAGCAAGAAAATTGCCAAAATGGGTTTATAAAAGAGTGTGTTTAACTTAGTGTGTAATTTTGTGTAAGTATGCATTTCCACATTTACATTAAAACGAAAATGCAATACCTAAAATGAAGCTGATTCAGCTATGAGAGAGCTCGACTTGGCTCGACTGAATTGTCACTTCTACCTTGTTGAATATGCCTTGGATTCAAGTCGAAAATCGACACAAATAAATAAACGAAAACACATATGTACATACATACTAGTGCATTCAATCCCGAATCATTTTAACAATTCCGGGATTTCGGAATGTAAAAATGCGAATTCCGGGATCACGAGATTTTTCGGGAATTCGACTTCATCACAACTTTTTGCATTTTACAGTAGGTTCGCCTTTTTAAAACCACACAGATTTATTGTCACCACATTTGGTCTTAGGGGAGCATAATGCCCCTTAGTAAACGAGTATTTAATTTGATGTTTAAATATTTTTATTCTAAAATATCTATATTATTTGTCAAAAACATGTAGTCATATTTGCAGAAATCCTTTTCCAAAAAAGGCCAACAAAGTAAAATGAAGAACAACTCTGCCACACTGTAAAAGCTGGTTGTGTTTTCAATTGCTACCAGATTTTTCGTTATTACACAGTTCTTGCACAAAATATTTGAACAAGTACAGTTATTCAGGCAGGTCCTGAAATTCACTTCCAAGCGCAAATGGCTCAAGTTCACTTTGAATCCAAATTTTTGTGTTCTGTATTTCTCGTTTTTCATGTCAAATGAATTCCTTTTTTCGTTTTCAACATCTCTTTTATTCTGTAAATGAATCAGTAAAAATCTCGGGATCCCGGACATCCCGCGATTTCGGGATATGAATGAATCCCGGGATTAAATGCCTTAATACATACATATAAGACATTTACCATATTTATTTACGCCCTAGAGCTCATTAAATCGATCGTTAACTAAAAAAGTAATTCATCGCAGTTCAATTCATAAATAAAAATCATAAATACAACTATTCAGTATCTGCTTAAATATATTTAATGCTAGTCGAACATATTGGGTCATTCCACGCAAAAGAGGAAAACGACAAATTTTAAAATTCCATATTTCAGCAGTAAGCTTTTATTTGGAGCATGGTTCCATATGCAGAAGTCCACGTAAGTGGGAAAACCTTTTGACTGCCATTCACCTGGGAGTGGCCAGAAGTGATTCTTGTGCGTACGGTTCAAATCGCAGCTCACAACGTCCGGATATTTATATCCACGTATCGTCTGGGTAGCGACCAAATACCAGTTTGGGAGCGAGCTAAAGTGAGAAGGCGGTAGACTTTTCGCTGGAAACGCCCATATGTAGATATGCACGTACATACCTGTGTTCGTATGGAATAGTAGCTTATGTCGAAAGGCTGGCTTTAGTATAATGCGGCATTCGCAACATATGATTGCGAATGCCTCACTTGGGCCGAGCCGTTGAAGAACTTTTGGGAAATAAACGTGCAAAAAATAATTCCGATACTAGCAAGTCAATATTCTTATTAACTCTCACCAAAAAAATCCTTGTAGTTTAAAGAATAAAGGGCATGCCGCATTATACTAAAGCCAACTTCCCGACATAAACTACTAAATATTCCATAGTCGACGTTCAGACACGAAAACTTTTCTTGCGGAAACTCGAAGCTTGTAGGAAAGAGAGCGACGAGGAAAGGGGACAGGTACCGAGTCGCCCGTACTCGGGAAACACGCTTTGTGCTCTCGTTCGTCTGAGTAGTTCAAGTTGGCGATTCACAGCTGACAACAATTGCGTACAAAAGAGTTTCTGTGTGTGAATGCAAAGGGCAACACCAAAAGAGAAATCCCCGATAATAAGAAACTCGAGTTTCCGTGTTTGAACGCAGACATACGAACACAGATATGTAGGTATGTATGTACATATAGGCAAAAATACTACTTGTATAAACAACTAACTAGCTAATTTACTAATGTAACCAGAAACTTCGTAAACATTTTTTTACTAATCGGTGACTCCCCCAAAACTCTAATTTCTGGTATGCATACAATATGTATGTATGTACATTAGGGTACTTACAATGTTTTTGCTCTTCACGCCTGGAACTTTAAAAAATTACATATGTACGTATAAAACAATGATTTTGTCCCAAAATCATACTGACTGCCAGATTTTGGCTAATGCTTTCAATTCTCATACCTTCTCTCCTAAATCCTTGTTGGAATTGCGTTAGTGTTAAAGCTGTATAAGCACTTTTCAACTAGTTAGTTATCCACAAAGATGTTTGAATGGAAGCATTACAGATTTGAAAAAATGGCAAACCGCAAGGCTTTATTGGCAGTAGGTCCTTTTTAAAGTACATTAAAAAAAATAAGTTTCTACATAGTTTCGAAGTTAGAACAAAATTAAATTTTTTTGTTTGTTGTTTACAAAAACATACTTGCCAAGTATATAAGTCCAAATTGTTAAATATATATCGCTTTCATTCATTTCTTCATAGAGTTGGTGCTTCTTTTATAGGAAAATGAACAGATTCATACCATGTAAATGCGCCATTAGCTTAACGGGCCGGATTCTACACTTATGCTGTAAAACATTTCGCCCACCCATTGTAATCAGTGATCGGACTTCAAAAATTCGGTGTGGTAGAATCTGGAAAAAATGTGGTAGATTTAAAAATAATGTGGTAGATCTCAGGTTTTAGATCAAACTTTGTACCAAAATCAAAAAAATTCTGCAAGGTTTTACCTAAATTGTAAACTTTTTAATTACTCTAAAAAAATTTTTACTTTGGTATAATAAAGTGCAAGATTAAAGTTGCTAACAGTTGCGTTGAGTTTTGGCACTTTTTTTCCTTGACAGTGTAAAGCAGTTTTTTCCATATCAAAATATTTTTCGAACATATTTTAAAAGATTTCTTCAACCTTGCGGAGTGTTGCCAGCTTTTCTTTTTATCACATCACGATGTAGTGATGTTGGAGAAGATAATAGGAGCTGCAGAACTGAACCGCTCAGGAACAATTTACTACAAGAGCGTGCAATTGCTGGCTTATGCCGATGGCATCGACATCATCGGTAACAAAAACCGCGAAGTCTGTTCTGCCTTTACCAAGTTGGATAGGGAAGCAAAGCGAATGGGTCTGGTGGTAAACGAGGACAAGACGAAGTATCTCCTGTCATCAAACAAACAGTCAGCACATTCGCGCCTTGGCACCCACGTCACTGTTGACAGTTACAATTTCGAGAAACTCGA